TAAAATAAAATGATATTTAATATATAGAGTGGGTCAGTAAAAAAGAGACAAATCATTATTAGTAAAATTTTTTTAATTTTTAAATTAAAATATTTTAACAATTATTTAATCAAATTTGCTAAAAATTGTTTTATTTTAATCTTGAAATTATATAAAATTAAAATAAAAAAAAATTTATTAAATTTAATAAGATAGTTGTTAAAATATTTAAGCTTAAAGTCAAGAAAACTTTTATTTAAAAAAAATTTGTCCCTTTTCTACTGACCCACCCCCATATATAGATTCATTGTTGCATTTTTTTAGTGATGAGTAGATCATGTTAATGTGAATTTTTATAGGGTATGCTAATTGGTTTTCGAAGTTACGTGTCAGTTCCATTTTGGAACACAAATTATTTTTGCCAAGAAAAAAATTGTATGTATTATATTTGATATATTATAAGCACAATAGATTACAAAATTTAAAACCTGATATGATATAACTGAAGCTTTATTAAAAAAATAGATAAAGCATAAACTTTACTATATTCTAATATTTATTCTAACATTTATCCTTTTCTATCTATTTTTTAAAATATGCAAATTATTTATATTCCAATATAAATTATTGAGTTACTTTTTGAGAACCATTTAATGGGTGTAAATGAGAACTAATCTTCTTTTTCTTCAAACTATTTTTTGGTATACAGTTTTCTTTTAAAGTTGATCAGATTGAAGGATTGTATAAATTTTTTTTCTCCTTATTCTTATCTTGAAACCTGTACCTTCTTCAGTGATGGATAAATGTTAGGTATTGTTATAGAAACATGAGAACTTACTGACTTTACACATTTTTTCCATCTTGTAATATTGTTTTGACTATCTATACTACCATTTATAACTTTCATCATTTCAAATATTAGGAGCTATAGAAGAAATTAAGTATCAGAAGTTTAAGGCTTAAACAAAATGAGCCCAATACAACTTACCTTGCTATATATTATCTCGATCAATATGTCCAAAGATTTATTAAAGTTATTTATATTAGCATAAACTTTAAGTAAATTTTTTTTGTATATCTGCAGATGTATCTAGTTGGGCAGTCAAGATTTGTTCTAATCAACACTGCATCTTTAAAAAAAAATAATACAGTTATTAAAAATTTAGAAAACTCATCTAAGAAATACTAACCTGCATGAGCAAAGCTGATTACGTTTAGCTTCCTCAGCTTTTTTTTAGTAAAATAAATTTTTTTAGCAAGATAGATTAAAATATCTTTGAGAGTTTTTGGCAAGATTAGCTCTAATTCTTTTATTAGCTTAGTACTAGATATATCTTCCCACTTATGACCTGCTTCTGTTGCTGTCCAGTCTATTGATATTAACCTAATAGTTCTAATATATATATTTTCTCTTTTTTTAATCACTTTCTGTTAAATTGGTTTAGTGTTCAGCAAAGTCTGTAATGATTTTTTCTCTTAGAAGAAGCTAATTTGGTTTTCTCATCTCTATATTCCAAAAAAAAAAACAAAAACATAAATTACAAGAAAAAGCCAAAGATGCTACATTTTTACAAACCTAATAACATAAATATATAGTATATCTAAAAACACAATATTGATCGACCTCCAAATATTTATATGATACTATGTCTCTGGTATATCCAAAGCTAATGGATTTGGTTGCATTTCGAGAAGTCAAACCCTATACAATAATGATTTATTATTTAATGCAAAATAAATAGATTTTATGGCCGAATAATAATCTCCAAAGTTAGCTATTAAGGATTGAAAATCGAAGTTCAGATTTTCAGAGTACTATAAATTATAAAAGTTTTTTCACTTCATTTACCAATCAAAAATCATCATTCTTATGTACTTATAGATAAAATCTTTCTGTGGATTATAATTTTTCCCAAGTTGATGATGTAGCATATTCAATGCTATTTATATTTTCTTTATAGAGTCTTAACATATCCATTTGTTTTATAAATCATACTAAATAAATGATATTGTATCAATCTAAAATAAAATATCTTTGCGAATGTGTTTATGTACTTGAGGATCTCATCATCAATTTCTGGCAGATCATTTCCATTCTTCTTTTTAATTATTTCAGATAATTCCTTTTCTTTAAATGTATTTTTAATAAACTTATCTGTAAAATCGAGTATAAAAAAGTGAACAAGACTAAAAGGCAAAGTCAATGATCTTCTTGAAATTTTTTTTAAAAAAAGTAATATAGCACTTACTTGTAGTATCAGCATTTTATTCCAAGCTTATAGAGTATATCTTCAACAAACCTTCCTAACTCTAGCTTCTATTTTTTCAAATTTTTCATTATGTTAAATCTAAGTTTGATTAGTTAGGAACAAGAATACACAAAAAAGATATTATCTTTCCATGTAAATATTTTTGTCTATGATGTCAAATTCATTTTTATAGTCAATATTTTCTTTGTTAAAATCATTCGATTCTTCCTATAGCATGAATATAGATTATGAATTAGATTAATCAAACCTTAAATACCTTATATCTGACAAAATAAAAACAAACTAACTTAACTCACTAAAATAAGAAGGCAATTCTTATTTTTCAAGATACACTCTTCACCCTGAACCTGTATTTAAATGATAAATAAAAGTGCTATGAGTTAATATTTCTGTATTTATAAATAGATGTTTTCTCAAATCAAGAAAATACTTTCTTCTTTTTCGTTTGCATTTTTTTGCTCACTGAAACAAATATATTCTCTTCCTGTTGCATATACACTATAGTTTATTGTAGATAAACTATGCATATAAGTTTACTATTTAGATATTAATTATAATCAATGCAACAGCATTAATCAATCTTATAAATAGATTTTCCATATTTTTTATTGTATGTCTATTTGTATAGTATTTGAAGGTCTTCTATAAGTTTCTTGGTTTCAGGAAGCTGATTGATAAAAGATTCTATAAGTAGCACAATCAAAGTAATGGATCAGTATCTAGTTATTATATTCACCTCTTTAGCTTTTAAGATTTTTCGGCAGTAATATGATTAAATCATGGTAACAATCTATAGTTAACTATAAATTCTAACAAGCCATAAAAGTTATCTATACATGTATCCCATAATGGTAATTCACTTTTATTTTTTATAATCTAGTTAATATAGTATTTTAAACTTCAAAAACTAGCTTCAACTGAGATAAAATAAGAATACATCTTTTCTGAAATAAATAGAATATGACATTAAACTATCTAAAAAAATAACATTCAGACACGAGTATATAGTAGGAATAGTAAAAAAACAGTTTAAAATATTTTTTCACCTGTTTAAAACATGTGATAATTAAAGTCTGAATAATATACACCTGTTTTTAATTTATTTTTACCTGTTTTTAATTGAGTATTAAATTTAAAATAGTCATCACATGCTAACTAACTCTAACTCTAAATTTTATTTTGCAATTGTTTATATGCATATAAATAGTACTTTAAAATTGATCCATATTATTTGACACACCGAATACTCACATCCAAGTCAATTACAGTTAAAGATCAGGTGTAATATAACAAGATCAGAAAAATAAAAACAATCATCAACAACTAACGCTAATATAAATACTTTAATATTAAAGAATTTTATTATCAAAAAATTTTTGATAGTGCTTTAAATTTTATATACATCACAGACTGATCAAATAATCAAAGTATTTTATTTAAAAATATTAGGTGGGAGTACACATCAGATCTACTTAAGTAGTGAATAAAAATGACAGTTTGTTATATACAGACCCATTTGATAGTAGCAAACTGGAAATGTAAATTTTGCCCAAATTTACTCATATACAGACCTAATTGGTAATGAGAAAATTTGTTATCAAGGGTTCTTTGTTGGATTCCCTGATAAAAAAGCTAGTTTGTCATATATAGCCCAATTGGTGATAGCAAACTAAGTTCATTTTTTCCAAATATTCTATATTCAACTTAATTGATAGTGAACATTTGGCTTTTCATTTACATCCACACAGATTGTTGCTTGATACGTAAAAATAAAGCATGTTGATAAAAATGCAAGACTAGTTTCAGTTATTGTAGTGTAAAAATTTTTATATTATATTTAACAGAACCTTAATTTTCTTGCTAGTATCAATACCAAGAGAGATCACATAACCATATACAGTATGTAGCAAAGTTCTTTAGTATTGTGGTATAAAAATTTTTATGTTTAAATAATTTTATTTAATTCATTTTATAGAAGTTAATTGATAAGTAAATTAGTATAGATAAGCAATATTATTTAACTTAATATGGTCTAAAGATTGTAATAGTCTTTGGTAAAAGTGGTGATAACAAAAAAATATATAATTAAAAATAAAGCTTCGTTTATAATCTTTGCACATTTTAATCAACATTTAAATTTTTTTGATTAATTAATTATGGGTTTTAATCATTATATATAACAATAATTTCAAACTGAGATTAGCAATAGAATAAAAAAAATAAAACAAGTTGGGGCTTCTAATTCACACTTATTGCTATATTTTATTTTCATAATATTCTATTCTGCCTTATATTTTATTTAATATAGGTGGTTTAATTTATTTATCACTAGAACAATTCCAGGGTGACTGTCCCAAATTAGAAAATCAATTATAATATTATTACACAGGTGTTAAAGAAAATTTTCATTTTACTCTACAATATTTTTTGCTTAATCACTTTTAATCTCATGACTTTTATATTACACTTCATCTGCCAAAGTTATAAGCGATAACAATCATTATGTTGACAAAATCTCAATTGTTAAGTTAAAATAATGATTAATGATGATAGTATAGAAGGAAGTAATTCATTTGTATATTTTTTCTATTATATATGCTGTATAAAACCCTTAAATAATTGAAAGTATATGAAGAATAATAACTAACTACAATTTAATATTTATTAATCATTTTGCTTTATAATATTTTGATGTTAGTTTCTTTGTTGTTATAAGGAATACATTTATTTAATGATAAGAAAATATGGCATATGGAAGTTGCTAGTTCACCATCATCACCAATAATAGAATATTATGCATCAGAAGCTATGATAAGTATATCAAAAAATTTCAAGCCTCTGATTTCAAGCCTATCACCTTCGAAGCTAAACCTGATTCAGAGTTAATTATCAAATCCAGATTGAAAAAGTGATTGAGAACATGACTGTAAAGTTTATGAAGAATGCAATCATCACTCACAAAATGTGTAAAAAGGTTATGGAGAGAATTATATAAGCGATGTAAATGTTCTCAAGTAATTTGATCAATAAAGCAATAATACAAATTTACTAGACATTTTATAATTTTCTCACATAGAATGAATTATGGGATTGTGTGAAGCAAAGTGTGTGCTATTATTTTTTGATCAAGTTTTTTTGTAACTTGATAAATAAATATGCAGTAATATTATAGTAATCATTGTTGCGAATCATAATGAAATCAGATTAAAATGAAATAAGAGGTTTCTATTTGCCTCCCTAAAACCTATTTATACTTGTTTATTATAAAACCTACCCCTAAGCCCTAATCCTAACCCTAAAAAAAGTGCACCCAAAAATTTGTATTTTTCGGTGGCTTGTCTATTTTACACTATCTCTTATTTCATTTTATTATCAAAAAATTTTTGATAGTGCTTTAAATTTTATATACACCCCTACTCATCAAGCAATAAATCATAATAATACGATCATTCGATCAATTAATTACACTCCGTGTTCGATTCGAGACAAAATGGTGCTCTGATAAATTTACTATCGCATCGGGCAGCTAATTATTAATTAGTGGAGTAAAGTAATGTTCCATCTTTATACATTGCTTTCGCACAAGTTCGATGGATCATATCATCACAAACGCCTCCCTTGATCTGTCGATCTGAGTGAATCCCAGAAATACACAAGATACTTAAAGCTTTGTTTGCGAAGAGTCTTCTGTAGTATTATAAACGACGGTTACATTTTTTAAATAAAATTGACCAGTCACGAGAAAGTCCTCCTATATGTATGATCGTATAATTTTTGTGAGACGGTGATCGGCAATAGGTATAGAAGAAATTCGAATATTATTGTTATAGAAATTCGCGTTTTAACTTTTCGCAAAATGACAAGTCCCAAATGGGCATAGGTACTTCGACGACAATGACGTTAATGGTTGGAATGTCCTTGGATTTCATGAAGCATGGATACATGAAAATAAAGATGAGATAAAAGTTAAGCTATCAAAAGTCTACGTTCTCTTATCAACGATTGTAAAGATGCGGGAAGCCGCGAGACTTTTAGCAAATAAGGCAAGTACATCATGCATATCTTATGGTAGAGTCAATGATGTGGACTGATGTCATACTAAGAGAAATCAACTGCTTGCTGGTTCTGCGATGTCCTGTTTGGATGTATGGGTAACCTGTTTGGATGCATGATTTACCACAATGTATACACGTGCGTGGGATTCAGTTGTCCATGCTACAACTGTTTGCTGCTCCTCCGAATGCCTGTTTGGATGCATGACAATGCCTACGTCTGCTCAGGATTAGTGTTAAAATTATTATACATTATGTATTATATCATCTATCACTTCATCTTTTTCACAAAGAGCAAACGTACTCATGGAAGTGAGCCTGACGAATTAGGAGCTTCAGTAGAATATCAGAGATCGGCACAAGAGAAATTAAATTATGAACAAGTAAGTTCATGAATTTGATTACTATATATCTCAAAAATAAGTATCACTAATTATAATTTTAAATTACTTTTTCACCAAGCTTGATAATATCTCAAAATACTCATACGCTTTGAACAATGCTGCAGTAATAAACTTAAGCAATATTATACAGCCCATACTACCAAGTGATGAAAGTCTTGAATTAGAAACAATGAATTTAACACAGACCACAGAACAAATATCAAGTGGAACTTTTAACTCGCAGCCGGAGAGAATGAGGACACCACCGCCTAGATTTCCAAACATAAATGCACTTCTTCATACTCCGAATAAACGTCAAATGCATGATAAAGGTGTTATTCTGTGAGTACCATATGAGTGCCGCCAAAGAAAAGCCTAACTTGAGCTTTTAAATTTATAACAGTCCTTGAAAATAGTCTGATTAGTGACATATTAAATCCAGTTACGTATCATATATCACTAATCAGATTTTTCAGTTGAACCTTATAAATTGTGAATTTAAAAGCAGAATTCTAGTTTTCACTGGATATCACTTTAATATTTATAACATAATTTAGAGCATGTTATTTTGATTTTGATTACTTTTTATGTTAGATATCTCGATGCACCTTTAAAATACAACCGAATTCACATTCAGGAACCATCTATGGGCTAAGGTAGAGAGCTATCTCGATAATTCTTTGAAGGTTAGTTCTCACATATGCTAATTGGTAGAATATTGGAAAGAGATGTGTTTTATATTTTTTTTGTTCGTTTTACAGAAATCAGGAAATGATTTTAAGAAAGCTATTATGCTAGAGATTGAAGATAATGGTGTAAGCAGTTTCCGCTTATATTGTGAAAAAATATTAATCGATTTGTGAGCCTTTAATGTTTATTGTGAATTTAAATACAGTAGATAGGTACTTATTTCTGACTCCTTGATACTAGAGATGGGCATGCGTGGGATTTTTAATATAATCTCAAATAAACTTTCTGGCCGGCATTACCATATCAGCTGGCTAGCATTAACATAATATTTGGCCTGCATTAATATACTTAATTAGTAATTGACATGTATCGATATGTATAGAATTTATTTCACACATATGAATCCCGTGCGAGATTTTTGAAAAAACCATGTTTGCCCATCTCTACTTGGTACGTACTAGTTATAATTTAGTAAATGTTTTTTCTACACTTTTCAGAAAAATTGGAGAATGTTCAGAATTTTATCACTTTTTAAATTTTATGAAACAACAAAATCACCTACCAGTTCAGAAATCGTTAAATTTGAGCTAAAGGTAAATAATATTCTTAGAGAAACTTTTAAGACATGATAAGAAATTTACATATATGCACGATATATTAGAATAATAGTTGCGTAATATAAAATAATATATATAGTGTAAAATGTTAGAGATTTAATTAAACATAGAATTAGACGTAAAATTAAGCGTAGAATTAAACAGAATTAGACGATTAAATATATAAAT